CAGCAAGTCTGTAAGCACATCAATGTTGATGCAAGTTGAGAAAATCAGACTCGCGGCAAGTTGTTATCTACAGGCTTGCTGCAAGTTGTTCAAACAATTTGCAGCATGGTTGTGGCTAACAAGGTTAGTCCTGACAAGATAACAGCTTGCAGCAAGTCGTTAAAATCAGGCCGCTTGTTGGTACTTGATATTTGCCGTTTGCTATAGCAACTTGATAACAAGTTTATTTGATTTATTCACAACGAGGTCCACAGTTTATAACAGGTTTGTTTATTGTTCGCTTCGCCTTCGGCCGTGAAATGCAGTTTCCTCGATTATTTTATTGTTCTACACATGAATATTGGATTATTGTCAATGGAGATTTTTGTATTTTAAATCAAAAAGATTATTTTGCTTTATTTAGCCATACAGCTTTTTCTAATCAATAAAATTAGGCCGTGTTCATATGAGCCGGGCTGGCCCGCTTTGCCGGGCTAGTTTATTTTCTTCACATGAGGCGGGCTAGCCCGGTAGCGTTACATAATTTGTTGATGCTACACAAATCGAAAAATGTTGCTTGCATCGATTACAGCGGTTTGGGCCAGATATATTTCGTTAATTTTTGAAATGTATCGTGTTCTTTTGGTTTGCAAATACATATAAAATGGCGAAATGATGCTATGAAGGTATATTTGTAGGGAAAGCGATCGACGATTTTCAGCCCGGTTTACCGGGCTAGCCCGCCTAGTGCGTTCATATGAGCCCGTTTTGCCGAGATCTCGCCTCGCTCAAGCGAGATCTCGCCAAAGCGGGCTGGCCCGCTTTCCATGTGAATCAAATTTCAAAAACATATAGAAACAACTTAGGAAGCGGGATCTCGCCTCTAGCGAGTCAGCCCGGCAAAGCGGGCCAGCCCGGCTCATATGAACAGGGCCTTAGATGAGTTGAAATGGACAGCTGTAGAAAAATTCTCGCAAGTCGCAATAATTATAAATCTTATAAAAATTGAAATTTAGGAACAACTTGCTGACGTATACTATCGTTACGTTTCTTTAATTTGACTGGATAAGCGGGTATGCACTCGCCATCAATCCTCGTTGCAATTGGACGAAATATTACAAAGATATTAAACACGTAATCAAGTTCGGTTGTTTTTGTCTCATTTTGAGTCAACAAAATTTCAAGTTTTTAACAAGTGCGAAGTGCAAACTAAAATCATCGCTAAAATCAAATAAAGCGAAGAAGAAAGAAATTTCAAAAGAAGAAAGCTCAAAGCTGGTTTGATTTTTGAAAAAGTGGCAACGAAAATACATGATTTAAAGCTTAACAAATGAAAATACATGAACGACTGAGTAAAGTTCATCGACATCGTTGATATGAACATAGGCAGCCCAATGGCGAATGGTTTTATTTGATTTGAAAATGTACACTTTGATGAAATTCACACATATGTTGTTATTCACATGGACACATGCAAACAATCCGAAAATACTTCAATTTATCCCTAAAACTAAGCTAAAATAACAAAAGAAATTAAATCTACGATAATTTTACCATACACTGACTATATTTTAATAATTAGAATAAGTTATGGAAGCGAGAAAAATGCGAAATGTTTTTGATATTTTACTCAATTTTTGCCAAATGGGCCGATGCTGGAGGTTAGGTGGAAAACGCGGGCATGCGGACAAGCGAACATGCGGACAAAAATCCTAAAAAATCATACTCACATTCGAATTAGAATATACAATCTCAGCGATTTCCGTAAAAATAAGAAACGTGAAAAACGAGAAACCCTTTCCTTCCCCATTCCTCAATTCCTCAATTAAGCTCGTCGCTCCAAAAAATATAGACAGTCTTGGAGTAAGTCGTCAAATCATCATAAAAATTAACTTCGGCTCGTACGATTTTTTTAAAACTTGTATATTTTACGCATATCAAGATTACAGGAAGGTGAGTGAGTGAAGTTTTAAAAAAAATACCAAAGAAAACATGAGAAAAATTCATTTATCTTTATGCATGTGATGTCACAAAAATCAGGATCTCAATTTTCTCGCATGTATTCGCTGGAACCACTGTTGTATATAAACATTGCTAAAATACACAAGAATAGGACTTCATTTTGATTGATTTTATTATAACTGTATTTGCATGTGTTAAATTATCACGCTGTAATTTGAACGGTATCTTTAAAATGCGTACAGATCATTGCAAAAATTTGATTAATACCGCCTGAGGATTAAGGTTGGCAACTTTATCACGAATATTTAATAATATATGAATACACAAATATCAAACTTCGCTTGAAACTAAAAAAGTTCCTCAAAATACTGCAAAGTAACTAAATATAAAAGACTTGGATATATTTTCTATCTGCCGTACGCAGATGGCTTATAATATTTTCCTCAATTCATATTGATGAAAATAGATTGCTGAGTTGAAATGCCACACGGTGTTAAAAAAACAATTGCCATCTCCCTGTTCTCCAAGTCCAAATCCCTGCATGCAAATGTCCTGCAAGAGTAATTTTATGCGACGCCACATCACCATGTCCATGATTTGAACTTGTAAATAAAGAACTAAATTCTTGGAATTGATTATTAAGACCAATAGACCGTGAAATGTTATGGATCGTGTAAATTTGAAAAAAAATTTAAGGCTTAATAAGCCTCTGCAACTTTTGTTTTGTTGTCACTTAAGGGGTCTTTATGATACGCATGGTTGTTGACTTCATCATCTACGTGAGAAAGAAAAGATGTGATTTATTTCTACTTAATATGCATATGCGGGTAGTTTATTCAGAAGCAAAATTCTTCAATTAAGTCCCAAAGGAAGTTAATTTTCAATGATTTTAGTCCCAACTCTCAGTGGTGAAAATATGCGATTTTGACTAACACTTTTTATCAGTCTCTTATTTGCTCATTTTTTCACCATTTGGTATCAAAAACATGTCATCGAACAACATAGTTAAAAGCTTAACCTTTCCGAATGTGAAAAAAGTTCGTTAATAGAATGAGTAGTTCACGTACAATAGCGCGCCAAAGTTGGATTACTTTTTTTGATACACCCTGAGTGTATAATATTTTTTATCTTCTTTATATCTTCTGTTGCCAGTTCATTGATTGTCTTGTGACTAATGACCGCTTTATCTTGTGAAACAATTTCATCATCATTTCCAGCAAAATCCTCAAAGCCAAAATGCCATGGCATTGAAAAGGCAGCGACCATATCACCGGAATCCTGTGTATTAAGCTTATAAAAAGCTTAGTACATCTTATATAAGCTGTATCCATGCCGATTTTGTTTGTCTGGAAAATATAGTTTAAGTATCTATGAACCCGTTCATTCCCCGAAGTAGACACTTTGCTGGAATTTGACTTAAACAACCATTAGTTATGTGCACTTTGATCAGGCATTATAATACGGAATTTTTACAAGGACACACATTGTCTTTAGGTTCAATAATCACTTAGTCTTAGAAATTACAACGTGAAATTACAACGCAAGCATATAAAAAAGAGCATAGCCATGCAAAGCACGGTCTGTCAGTCTCTAGCCTTTTTTAATATATAGTATATTCAATAATGTCAATTTTATAATAGAAACAATAATTATTTTAAATAGTCAAATTAAAATTATATTAGACATTTTTGTCCATGAGGCATGATTTTTAACTACACACTTTTCCATTTACAAGGACACATTCGCCTTTTACAAGGACACAAAGTGTGTCAAAAACACGCGTATTATAATGCCTGACTTTGATGTTATGTATAGCATTCTTGCTTCGTTGCCTCTTTATTGAGAATACAACTTCCATTCCACATAACAACAATTGGAAACTGTCAATTGGAAAGCATAGTTGTTGGGTCGCACAATGGCGAATACTGCCACGATCATTAGGAGCACGAAAAAATAAACCGTACGCTTCTAATTTCATCTGCATGGAAATCTGTTTAAATAACCCTTTCCATTTACAACAGTTATCTATGATTAAACCAGCCCGATTTGTGAGAAGGAACGGTACATATACTGAAGATGGTATTGCCGAGACAACTGATGGATGATATGCTGGAATTTGGTAATTGCTCGGACATGTATAAGTGTGGGAAACCAATACCAAAGAGTCGCTACAGTCGTATATTCGGGGATGATATGCGCTTGAGACCACGTATTATCTGCATACATTCCCGATCGCCGTAAACTGCAAACTAAACTAGAAACCAAACAGAAAGGACATCGAAGAAGATCACTCATTTCGGGATAGTGACGAAGAATATCCCAAATCAATATTGCAGACTACGTAAAGCATTCTATCAACTGACAGTCTGACAGTCGAGTGCATGCTTATTAATTTCTGCTGACCTGGCTTCTAAAAGCCTTATTGCTTTCTTGATTTTTTCTTTTTCAACTGGATATATGAATACATTCACATATAATGTATTTCAAAATAAATCCAAAGAAAATGCCCCACTTTAAACGTACCATGACTGCATATGAGATATTGTACTAATAAATGAACTGTACTAATACGTCTGAAAAAATATTTCAGTCTGGATTAGGCAAGTTTTACTAGATTTTAGTGGTATAATTTCGTGTTTATACATATTACAAATTAAGTGCATCTAGTTGCAATTCCAGACGAAACTTTTTTAGCAATCACATTGATATATCCCAAGATAAAATTAACCGCAACGTAAAAGTTATTTGAACTTTTTTTCACAGAAAAATATCTTGCATTTGGATAATTTTTCTCCGAACACTTTCCTTAAGACGAGGCAGCAATTTATTGAAAACTTCTTAATTGAGAATCTCCTTCCTGTTTATTAGATAGATGAGATAGATAGATGATTTTGGTTTATTGACCAATAAGATCAGTGGATCAAGAAACAAATTCAAATTTGACGAGTGAATATGAAATGCCCGGTGTAAGCTTCAATTGCCGCGACCGTAAACATGCATTCTCCAACAATTCATATATAATCTAGATCTATTGAAAAGCACAAACTGATGCCAATAAATTATGATGAAAAAAACAGTAAAATGAAGGCACTAATACCAAAAAGAATAAGCATGCATAATACAGTAAAGAAAGGCATGGGACCGCCATCGTGCTTCTGCAAACTCATCACCTGAAAAAAAAATGAAAACGTTATTCAAGCATATTTCTGACCTCCCCTACCCTTCTTCATCCAAAGAACTGGTTTTAACGACGTATGCACGAAAAAAGTGATAAAACCAATCTCAACCACGCAGCCTCGTACCTATATCTATTAGGGTTTCCATTCCCAAATAACACACCTTTTGATGTGAACTGGGCTAACCTGGTCAACAGAGTCTTTTTATACGTCACACGCGAGTCTAGAGCCTGCTGTTGTAGTAAAGAAAAATGGATTATGACTATATGCACACGGTTACGTTTTCGAGCGTTTTCACGTTCGTTTTCATACGAAAACCATAGAAATTGAAACTAATTTAACACATTATGTATAGTTTTCCTTGGGTCGCGTGAAAACGCTCGAACGACGCTAATTAACGGGTTAGCCCAGCTCATGCATATATATAAACAGTTAATCTTATGTCTAAGCAACATCTATCTGCTTTAATTTTAAAGGAGGCAGCATTTGTCTCATTTGCAATCTATGACTTGTTTCGATATATTTTTTAAAAATAATATGCGTGTAAATAAAATACGCGCGTTCTGATTGGTCGAGAAGCCTGTTTCTATATACTCGAAATAACGTGGAAAAACTTGCCTTAAGCCGGTTTTCCACTAGCGATATTTTTCGCGCGAAGCGACATTTTACTTTTGTTTCAGAGCTCTCAACTGCAACCATCTGGAACAAATTGCTCAAATACAAAGGAATAAAGTCGCTTCGCGCGAAAAATATCGCTAGTGAAAAACCGGCTTTACGGGCTCGTTTTCCCAAACTCCCACGCGTGTTATTATAACTCTATAACTCTATAGAAACACGGCTAACAAACATTAGACTAAAAACATAAAACCTGTAACCGGTTGAATGTTGTGCAAAAACTCTTATTTAAAATATTTTTGTAAAGATGCCAACTAGCGTCGGCATATTCCTATACTAAAGCTATAAACATTGTTGGCACATCTTAGTTTAGTTTTAAAAAGCCGAAGTTCAAATAAGAAGACAAAAGACGAAAATCACACCGGAAACCGCCTTTGATGACATTTACATTGGTATAGCCTATACATTGAATAAATGTTTTAGCATTTCAACCAAAATCAATAAGAATAAATATTAAGAGGATATACAAAGTGAAGAAGTAACTTCACCATGCAATGCAATTGATCCATGCATGACTGAGTTTCAAAAGCTAAGTGCGGGTATAAGGACCGAAAGTAGTTCGCGCTACTGATTTTATTTTGCCAAAATATAACGAGCCATTAACCCAACTCTTGATTTTAGACAAAGGCATACTATCACAAGAAGGCTATTGTTACATATTCACTGCTCCATTACTATGTTAAGCCCAATGGAGTGGTGCGTATAAAAGCATGCACAATCGAATCAAATTTCATGTAGAACAAATTATTTTAACACGTTTTCTTTCGTCAAACATATAATATATGATATAGATTAATTTGTAATGGTCTTCCTTTTTTGAAACACCCTGTACAGGGTATAAAACGACGCAACACTAAATATTCATGAATATATTCTATTGAATCACAAAGTCAAAAGATCAATTATTCTTGAATATTCATTTTCGTTTTTTTATGATGCACCCTGTATATTGCTGTAAATCGTCGGCTATTTACAAATTTTGTAATCTTAGTCCAAAAAGAGACATTTCAGTTTAATTGTATTTCAATAACTCAGTGTAGTTTCTGTTATACTTAGTGTATAGAACAGTGAAACATTTCGAAAAAAGAGCAATTGAAGATCTAAAGACTAAACCGAAATCTTCACACATTGATAGTAAATTGATACTCCTTTTAACGTGTATGTTTCCTAAAATTCCCATTCGAACATTCCCGGAAATTAGGATTCAAGTAACTTCATTCAGTAATATAGGGCATTTCAGTGGAATTATCGTTCACACTAATATCAAAATATCAAAGTCGTAAAAGAAATGTAACCGACATACTATATTATCCAGGTTTCTGCTGAATGCATCAAAGGAGAAGTTACCAATAACATGGTCACGCCCTTTTTCCCCAAGCGCTTTAGCTAAATCTAACTTCTCCATGACAGTTTGCATAGCGTCAGAGAATGCTTTTTTGTTTGGTTCGCACAAGAACCCGGTTCCTCCGTGAATAACAGTCTCTAGAGGGCCTCCTGTGTTGACGGCAATCACAGGACGGCGCATGTACATTGCTTCAATAGGAACAATACCAAAGTGTTCGTTTGTCGGGGTGTAAATTAGGCACAAGCACCGTACAAACAGCGTTAACTTCTCCTGATCGCTGAATGATCTGATAAATGTCACATGGTCGGTGAGGTTGTTTTCTTTGGAGAAATTGACCAGCTCAATAAAATGCTCTTTATTCTCTGCAATACGCTCGTCATAACCACCTGTGAATTGACAATAGAGAAAGCTGTACGGATGAATATTCCCTATAGTTTTACATTTAGTTTAATAGGGAAATTGTTAATTAATTTCTTGAACGTTTTGTATATGCACGGACTAAAATTATTCAAAGACATGGGTGCGTGTATGAAATTCATTATTTAGAATTAATATATGTATAATATTCTTGTATGTTTGCATGGTGACATCAATAAGTAAATTAGCTTGTAGGTACACCACGTATAAGTATTTAATACTGCAAACCCGGGCCTTTATCAGTGCAATTACCTGAAAACAAAATTACACGTCACTTAAACCATTTAATCATTAGAGACCTTTAGTTTGACGGCAAACGCCAAACCGATAACAAAGTTTGTGTTTTAACTCCTGTATCTTTAAGTGTGCGACAATTTCGCTAAATTACAAACGTTCTGCATAGAACTTGATGTTCATGCAGCAGTAATGTGAGAAAGCAATTGGCTATTCCTGATGTATTTAGAAAAGCAGCAAATTCAGCTTTGCCGTATGTGTCTCACGTTCGCCGTATAAAATTTAATGCCTGAACGGCTAAGGGTGTTTGCAGTCAATTTGCTGCTTTTCTAAATACATCAGCAATAGCTTATTGCTTTCTCACATTACTGCTGAACATCACAAGTTTTATGCAGAACGTTTGTAATTTAGCAAAATTGCCACTGTAACATTGTTTTCATGTTATGGCTACGCAAACTATAATCTCATCCCCCCGTATCAGATGACAAGTTTTGTGCAACCGGGGATCTCGTTCTTTGAGACATGAAGTGTCCGCACCTCTGGTGCCGATGGACATACAACTGTCTGAACATATTGCAAACATTTAATATATTCTATCATATGTATTTATCAATTTCAATTTTACCAACCTAGCCCTTTTATTTCTCGGCTTATTAATTGCACTGATGAAGGCCGAAAGCTTTGCAGTATTTAATATACTTACGTGGTGTACCTACAAGCTAAATTACATGTATACTCATACGTATATAGCGATTTTATATATACTTTTTCAAGGTGGTGTAGTTCGTTCAAGGTTGCCAGCAACTCCGGCTCGTGCGAAATCTGCCTATATATAGTCATAGAGTGGAAGACAGACTTTACTGCATGGCCTTGTCCATCGGATCCATTGGATATAGAATGTCTATTAGACATTTTGCCTATTGTATCGCCGAACGGAAAAATCACCACAAGCTACTGATCGGCATTTTCGATCAACAAAGCTATATGAAGTTTCTCCGCGATGAGAACCCATGCATGTGGGTATAAGAATGCTAATGATGCTGTTTTGGTGATCCAATGGACGGACATTTCACTTGAATCACTTCTCAGATGGATCTGTACGAAATTGCCACGTATCCTATATTGCATTAAGGCCTGTTTTCCACTTCAACCGTATCGTAGCGTAACGTAGCGTATTTCTTTGTTTCCGATGTATTCAACCAGAACTAATGACTTTAAAACAATAAGATACGCTACGTTTCGCTACGATTGAAGTGGAAAACGGCCTTAATTTTTTCGCAACTTGTATATATATATATATATATATATATATATATATATATATATATATATATATATATATATATATATATATATATATATATATATATATACCCAAAATCTAATTAGAATTGCATATGTTGTGTAATATGATTGAAATCCCATGCAAATGTAATCATATGCAATTCTATCTGCGGCCAACGTTTTTGCAAATGGGTGTATATATATATAAATATATATATATATATATATATATATATATATATATATATATATATATATATATATATATATATATATATATATATATACCAGGTGGCGCAAAAAAATGTTTCCCCTCTTAGACTTATCGTAATTGAAAAACTAATACAGATATCTTATTCAAATAAAGTTGGTTGAATGCAGTAATGTCTAACTTAATTTTTTATATATGACTTGAACATTTTTGTACAATATTGGTCGAGATCGAGCCGTTTAAAATAAAGGTGCAGCTTTTGACGAAGCGAATGACATGACCAAATATCGCGACTCGACTTATTTTCAACATCCACGACAGGCGTTTTTTAAAGCGCTTTTTTTTTCATGTATATTGTCTTTGCATGTTTAAAGATTCTTAGATTAAGGTATTCCAAGTATCTTTTAAGTGTATTTGATGTTAAAATAATACTGTTCATCGTTCGAACAAATTGGGTCCCTAAGGAGTTGCAATGCACAAGGGAACGAAAGGAAAGGAGCTTGCCCGCTTTGTTATAAGTTTGGATTTGTTTGGAATACGCGAGGACTAATAATGCAAGAGAAGTTTAATTTACGTCGATGGCAAAATCATTGGAATAATATTCCATCTCCGAGCATAAAAACAGTGAGGATTTGCCAGACGAAGCTAATCAATATTTGTTCTTACTGTTGCGTGCTGTTTTCATTCTATGCTGTTTTCAAAACATTTTTTGCTTCTCCCAGAAACGCTACTTTGAGTTTAAACGCCTATATCTTGGCTAATATTGTATAGAAATTTACAAGGCTAAAAATAAAATTTAAGTTAAACGCCACAAGTTCACAAATTTCTGCACCATCAAAGCTTCCCATGGTCATTACCATCATCCATGGTTTTGAGGAATTGAATAAAACAGATTTACGGGCGTGTTTGATAATTGAGATCTGTTCGTCAGTGATGTTAACGATTGTTTTAGCTCAAGCAATGGATTTATCAAAGAGTTCTTCGCTGATTGAAGGGTAGTAGTCGACGATATCAAAGGAAACGAAATTGTATTCTGATTTGTGTTCGATATTTTTGAACCAGTCAATCACAGATTGGGAGTTTCTACATTGATTTACTTTAATGGTTGATCGGATTTCCTGATTGATGGTGTCTAGAATGACTTTGCTGACTTTTCCGAGCTCGCTTTTTGCTGGATTTATTAATCGGCATTTGGGGTTCGATTCAAAGTTTTCTTTATGGTCTTTCAGGGTAATATAGGCTTCCGTTTCAGCCATAACATCGATTCGGTTGCTAATGTTCAGTTTAGAGGAAATTTCGCGTAGTTCACTGTTGATATCATCTGTTATCTCGCTGTATGATAGTTTATAGGATTTTGTTATATTCTCGGTTAACACCTTATTGTATTCATTGGGTGAAATTTCGTAGATGTTCTTTGTTTTGTCGGCGAATACGTATACGTTTTTTGAGGATTTGATGTTTCTTAAATCTTTTTCTATCGTGTTGAGGAATGGTTCGTTGACTTTTCGGAAGGATATGTTTTGAACCAGCTTCACCAGATCATCTTCAAAGGGTCTTAACTCACTCACGGCTGGAGCATTTTTATTTGATGGTAGATCGTAAAAGTTCTTGTCCGTTATTTTCTCACCTTTCAAGAAAGAATGTGCTCTCCATCGTATTCTTTGTGCGACACTTTCCACTTTATGTATCAACGTTCTTCGACACTGATTTTGCGTCGGCAATCCGATGTTCTTTAACGAGTAGTTGAACCGTATCTTATTCATTTAACGAATTATAATTTATTCTCGTTACGAAGAGTGCACAACTGTTTCCAGGTGCTTTTTAATAGAAATTATAATGTAGTATTGTCGTCCGATCAAGAACGGAAAGTGCTCACTACAAGGCAATTTTGTAGAGCATTTAATTTAATGTTTTCATTACAATTTTTTAAAATGAATAAGTTGCTACTCCACGTTTCATGCAACAAGCTATCATCAGGCATTAATTTATACGGTTAAGATGTAGTAATGTAGTCGGTTCAATTACTCATTAAAGAACATCGGATTGCCGACGCAAAATCAACAATCCCCTGAAGCAAAGTAATTACACCTCCAAACTACATTTTTCAACCCAAGAAACCAAACCTTCAACCGAAAGCCAGTCCAAACGTAAACGAGCCAGAAAGGTCATTTGGTTCAACCCGCCGTATAGTATAAGACCGTACAAACCAATGTCGCTCGGGAGTTCTTGAAGTTGATTGACAAACATTTTCCCAAATCGTCACCCCTCCATAAGATCTTAAACAGAAACACCGTCAAAGTTAGCTATAGCTGTATGAACAACATTAAAAGCGTCATATCAAAACACAATAAGCGCGTGTTGAAAGAAAATCATTCCCAACAACCCAACAACGCTAACAAAAATAAAAACCTATGTAACTGCAGGAACATGAACGAGTGCCCACTAAACAATATGTGCTTGACGAAAGATCTAGTTTACAAAGCCGAAGTGGAAACCGAAGACTCCAAGGATACCAAAACGTACATTGGTATGACAGCGACAACATTTAAGAAAGATACAGAAATCACAATAATAATAATAATAATAATTTTCCATTTATATAGCGCGCATGTCCTAAAAAGTCCAAGGCGCTTTACAAGTATAAAAATAACTAAGATGCTAAATAGGTTAGCTATATAATAGCATGCATTTACTACCATTTACAAGGTTATAAAATATTAAAATGTACAGAACTATGTATAACGGAACTAAAAACTATAAAGTCTTATTATTATCCAGGAAAATTTTAAAAAGATATGTTTTTAAATTCTTTTTAAAAGATGATACAGTGGATGACTTGCGTAGATCATAAGGCAATCTATTCCAAAGTTTCGGTGCACAAACAGAAAACGATCTGTCACCATAGGTTTTATAGTTGGAAGGAGGCACGAATAGAAGTTCATTTGAAACAAAACGCAGAGATCGACTTGATTTTCTGTATTCCAAACAGCAAGACAGATAAGGTGGGCAGAATCCATTCAACAGTTTAAACAATGAGGAGGATTTTGAAAACAATACGATAATGTATAGGGAGCCAGTGTAGTTGGATCAGGACTGGTGTAATATGATCGTATTTACGAGACATTGTAACAACTCGAGCAGCTGAGTTTTGGACTGATTGTAACTTCGAAATTAGACGTTTATAGGTAGACCATACAGGAGGGAGTTACAGTAATCCAACTTTGCTGTTATTAAGGCATG